CTTGCGCCCAGCTGGCGATTTGCACAGACAATAGATGAGTCCGAAAACGAAAAGGGATTCATTCCGGCTGGGGGATCCCCCCATGGCAATGGCAACAGTAGCTGCCTAGAGGGCCTATCAAATGGAGTTACGTCGATTGACCAGCCGGTGTCTATTGTGAACTGTACCCCTCTGTACATTTCAGTCCGTCAATTATTTTCCCCACCCAGTGGCAGTGATTCCGTTTGTTCAATAAACGCATAATTATGCGCAATAATTGCATTAGCAAATATGGGCATGAAATTAAAGGCCACAGAGTAATTAGGAATGCCATCATCATGTAATCGTCCTCAGTGGGGGACTGGCAAAGAGCTCCGAGCTCCTGCGTCTTGAGCCATTTAATTAGAGGCGTTAAGTTGGCTAATGAATGCGGCAATCGCATGCAGCTTCCAGTTGCTCACTCGAGGCCAAAACACTCGGATGCAGCTCATCCTGGCAGTCCCATCCTCACGTTTCAGCCTCAGTGAGTTGTGAATGCCGAATGCTGAATGGTGAATAGTGAGTATGCCGTCAGTTAGTCACTCGGTCTGCACATGCCGGATAAGTGAATAGCATTAAATAAACAAACTGGCGAACAGCACAACAACTGCCAAACAACAGCCGGCAGGAATAAAGGCTGCAAGGCTGCTACACTGCGGAGAAAATAGGAAAAATGTGGCAGCCAAAAGGACGAGCGAACAACAAGGCGGACACAGGATACTCTAATATACTATCACCTTCAAAGGCAGATCTATTATGCTCTCCAACTAAAAGTTTTATAACTGACAGATAGGCAAAATTGGTAAAAATATAATATAAACTTTAAGAAACATGTTTAGTTACGTTGCTTGAGAATCCTATTTGGAAAAGGACTTTCGCGTGGATATTATAATTCGAAAAAAGATGCGAATATATTTATAAAACAAACAATGGCTCGTTAGAACCCGATCAAAAATCATCGATGTGATAAGAGGAAACTCGAGCACACACCTCGTGGATGTGGTGTTCGAATGTTTTTCCCATTTCCTGAAAATCTTCTCCGGTTTCGGGATCCGATGCATTTGATAAGCGTCACGTAGCACACCCCAGAAACCATTCGGTACCATACCAAACCAATTTTTTCAGCTGTGAGTGGAAAACTGAGAACTGAAAGCCTGGCCAACCGATTGCCGAGTGCTTTATTATCCGTATAGCAGTGGGCCACAAGGATGCATTTGTTTGCCACTTACACACACAAAGGGATAGCGAAATGGCGGATCCACGTGGATGGAACGTACCTGCCAGGATGTGGAAGGATGCGGAGGGCATTAGTACGAAATCTTTGCAGAGCACACCTGAAAATTTCCCAACTCCCACTCCCCCGCCTGCAATTGCATTAGAATTTAAGATAAGTTCGAGGCAGCCAGGGAAACCGGAGTGCGAGTAATGGCAATGGGTTGGGGCAGTTCCGAAGTGGAAGTGGAAGTGGAAGTCTCCCGGATTGGGGGACTCGGCTTACAGGTTGCTCCTGCATCTGCTCCTGCCGCTTATTGTGTGTTGGACTTGGAGCCGAAGTGTGTGTGGGGCAACTTGTTTACCAAACTTTATTACAACTTGGCAAACAGTCGTCGCCTTTGTAGATGGCTCGAGTCGAGTTCTGTTGCTTTGTCTGCTAACTGATTGCAGTTACAATCAGTTTATTGTACGGGCCTGCTGGAGAATGGATTCGCCTGGACACACACATACACATGCAGCTTGTATCCTTGCATCCTGGCATCCTGGCATCCTCGTATCCTTGCAACAAGGCAAACAGCAGGAGCAAAGTGGAAAAAGGACTTTGTAGCCGGCAACAAGCTGCACAAGATGATGCCAGGTTCGGCACTTGAGAGCGGATAATTTGTAAATTATATAACTTGAAGTAGTAAAGTTTGGCGGCACCACACATACAAGCTGTATGGTAGGAATCTAGCCTTTTATGGATTATTTTAATTATAGGATTGCTCAGCAGTATGAAATACTTTTCCATTTTACGTTAGCCTTTCATGACGGAAAACGGATCATATGCAACTTGGGGTACATTTTCATTATTCACACGATGTTGTCACCCACAAAATTACTGAACCCTAAATCAAAAATCAATAGGGCCGCACCAGCAAAAAATGTCATAAGTGATTTCCTGTTCCGTTTCACGTTCAATCAAGCGTAAAATGATTTTGTAAAAATATTTACACAACTCGAGACCCGAAAAATCGAAGATATGAAAGTTATGTAGCCAGCGAAATATGAAAAATGAATGGGGAAAGCGGGAAAGTGGGGAAATGGGAAAAGCTAGTGGCTGAGCGGTGACAACTGTCCTACGTTTTTCTGAAGCCACTCAACCAAGTGGGCTTTCCATGTCTCCCAGCTCGGAGCGATCCGCTCGAATGCGTGGTCGTCGCCCACCGGGATGATGGTGTACATCAGTGTCAGATTAGGGCGTGGCCGGGGCAAAATCACAGACATAACCGCCACTCACACACACTTCTGGCTACATACATACTCGTATGTACGGGTAAGTGTGCGTGGATGGGTATGGGAGCATTTGGAGCTTCCTAAGAAGGCGCATAAATTCCAGACACTGCCGTCTTGGTGATTTGTGGTGCGGAGACCACATCAAACATGGCAGATTTTCACGGAATCGCCGGCTGGCGGGGCACGGAGTTTCTCAGACAGAGACTAAGTGTGGGTTAAGCACACTTGAAGTATGTGCACGCTTGGGTTAAGAAAAAGGATTTGCCAGCGCCCAAGGAGCTACTCCCTCCGTATCCAGCCGGATTTTTGTGTGGCTACACCGGAAAGTAATGGTCGCACTTTGGGAAGGCTGCATTAAACAGCTTTTTGTCGGCACCTTGCTTTTCTTGCTGTGTAAAAGCTGTGGAAAGAAAACCCCACCTCTGTTGGGTGGGCGGAAAATATGAAAAGTCGTCTTGCTGGGAAACTGAGTTGGGATCTCCTGCCAAGGTGAGGATTGTGGTCTCACTGCGGTCCTGAGGTCCTTGCGGCTTACGATGTTTGAAATACGTATATAAAGGCGTCGGCATGTGAATGCGATTTCCCGTAGTTTTGCTTTTTCACCTGCGACAGCCACGAGTAATGCAATTATATTGAGGCAGGTTTTCTGTCACAACTTTTTCACTTTTCCTGCACATATTTTTCCCCTTATCGCATTGCGGGCTGTGGGCTAAATGGATGAGCACAGGTAAACTATAGGAAAATCCATATTGCTATCAAAGAGTTTTCCCGTGGGGAAAGTGAAAACTTGGTCTCATCCCTTTCTCCGGCTGTCTCGATTTGCCGCCTCAAATCCCAGTAATTTACGGCAACAGGCAGCCCGGGTAATTGCCAAAGTTTATTAACGGAAACAAAAACGGAGCCCGGGTGAGAGCACAAAGGACCAAACTGCAGGCGGATTCGGAAGATGGAGTTTCGGTGAATTCGGCGCGTCCATGAATATGAAATGAAGTCAAAAGCCCACGACGATACCCAGACAGAGAGATTCCCTGTGGGAGGCGAGGCTTACGATGTCCACGGAGTGAAGTTGGCGGGTCATAAACAACAATTTATAAGCATTAATGAAAATTGGTTGAGAACTCGAGGGCGGCGGAAAGAAGTTGGCCGGCGCACTGCGGCTTTTTTAGAGCGACTTGCAAATAAATTAACTGCCAACCAGGCGAATGCAAATTAAGAGCGTTGTTTACACCTCGGATTGGTCCGTCCCACCTGGCTGCCCCTTTTTTTGGCCATTAAATTTATGCCTCACACGGGAATTACCTTGCGACAGTTCGTAAATCCTGCTCCTTTCCACCCATCACGGCTCTGCCAAATTTGTCCTTTCGCTTTCGACAAATGCATATGGAAATTTTATGCAAATTTCCATTGTGTCAGCAATTTGTAACGAATTTGCGCTGTGAAATGGCTCGAAAAAGCCGCCGCAGGCTGGAAAATTTAATTTGCCCTGTGCGGTAGGTAAATCAAATTGCATAAACGTCAATTTGCTAATCCAATATTTGAGCCACAAGTTTGGGAAGCTCTGCGGCTTTTCGAGTGCCGCTCTTCAATTTCAACTGCCGCAACTGGCGCAACTGGAGCACTTTAAGTGGCGGGTGAAAAGTTTCCCAGCTACAGCACTATAGTGCAACTGAAGCTGACAAAATATTTTCTGATTACTTTCCCACATTGGCAACACTTCAAAATGTCCCCAAAGAGCTGACAGCGCAGCAGCAGAAAACGACGACGAATATTTTCAAAATAAATGTTATTGTAACAAAAGTTGCCTGCTTGCTTGCGCCTGCAACTGATAAAGAACGAGTAGCAAGGACATCCTTGTGGGACATCCTGTTGATGCACTTTGCTGATGGCCGAGGAGAACTTGGTCAGCGTCAATTACTCGGATCCTCTCGGTCGGTTCCTGGCCGTGACTGGGCCGCATTTGGATACTGGCGGCTGGAGAGCCCAGAACTTAGGGCATCATCATAATCAACAGTCAACAAAAAGAACGAACGACCAACACGTGACTACACCACAAAACTCTCAGGAATATAAAAGTTTTCCCCCAAATGAGCTGCTGGCATTCTGCTGTTTCCATTTTATTTTTTTCGATAGCTGTCTGCACTTAATGGAAAATGTCAGTTCGCCTCCGGCGTCAAACGTTTTATTGAAGTTTTCAACGAGGCGGCGAACCCGACGAACTCAGTGCGTCATCTGCTCCTTTGGCCACCTTTCGCATTTTTCCCGCTCCTCCATCTCTGGATGGAGTCCTTCCGTCAGACTTAACGAACCGGAAGTGGTTAAGGGAAAGGTCTTCTCCTTCAGCAGGCAAGTGTTTAAGCACTCGGCGATATGATGGAGAGACCCGCGATGCCAAATGAGCGTGAAAAATTGTTACTCCTAATGGAAGACAAGCTCGAAAGGCTGTAAATATAGTTTTAGGATTCGACTAAACTGACCACAATATAGCGTTGAAATAGTATTCACCCAGCAGTTCAACTATTTTATCTAGACAGTCATTGATAGCATTCGCTTGACCTAGAAAGTATAGCAAATTTGTTTGAAAATGAGCAGTCAAATTAAAAAGTCAAAGACGACCACCAAGAAATTGGTGAAATCACCTCCAAAAAGTGCACCAAAATCCGCGGCAGAGAATCAAATTTTTAGCTGCCAATTCGAAGTGTTCGGTCATGTGCAAGGTAACCACAAGCCAAATTAGCCAGCTATCCCATGTTCTAATTAAATACTCCCCTTTTCAGGTGTCTTCTTTCGCAAGGTAGGTGCTTCATCTATGGTTGTTTTCCAATATTTAGATTATTCAACATCCAGCACACCCAAAAAAAGGCCAATGAGTTGGGCATAACTGGCTGGTGCATGAACACAACTCAGGGAACGGTTCAGGGTATGCTCGAAGGATCCTTGGATCAAGTGGCTGATATGTGAGCTAAATCTTAGGAAGGGTATTCTGTTTTATAGTAAAACATTTCGGTTTCCTAGGAAATACTGGCTGCAGCACAAGGGAAGTCCTCGCTCGGTCATCGAAAAGGCTGTATTCTCCGAGAATGAAGCGCTGCCCATAAACAACTTCAAGATGTTCTCGATTCGTCGCTAGGGATTATTTTACGCTAAAATGTGGTTATTAACTTTATAAAGTTGAAATTAAGTTGTGAGTTCTACTAAAACGTGAGGATCGCTTTGAGCACGACATGAAAATGTGGTTCTAGATGTGGTGTGGCCAAAAGTTGTCCATTCTCTTGGGATCTCTATTTGCTAGCCAATTAGGAAGGCCATAGGCCATCGCAAATTGCCTTTCTAACGTTTTGCCATGCCAACTTTTACACCGATGCCACGCCAATTGTCAAAACAATTTCAATTTGTATTTTCAGCCATCAAACCGCCGGTGTTTTCGACTCCAAAATGGGCAAAGTTGCGACTCGCTTCTGCCAATTTCGCGACAAATATTGTGCATCCCGAAAAAGGCAAAGTAAATTTACATAAATAAATAAAAGTTGGTTGAGTTCACAAATGGTAACAGTTGGCGCCTGATGGCAATTAAAAGCCTCTGCGCCACTCTCAACGGCTTGTTTTGTATTTTGTTTATCTTTTCCACGGGGGGGATGCTAAAAAAACGACTCCTCTGGATGCCACTGTTATTTATTTGGATTGTTTTGTGTGTCTGGCACTTTATTATAAACTGTTGAAACCGCAAAAAGTGCACTGGCTAAACAAAATTGTTTTCGTTGTCCAATTGCCAGTGTCGCAAAAATGGCCAGTTATTTATTTTAACCGTACTTTTTACTCTTTTCCCTTCATATTTTACGTGGCTAAAATATGAATTTATTATGAGGAAAACAGCGGTTTTATAAAAACCATTTAATTATAATTTAATTCTTTTTTAAATAGGACCGAAAAAACAGGAGAAGTGAACGCGCAACTTCTTCCTGACTGCTAAAACGTAAACTCTTCTGCCGAAAAATATCCTGAACATGGATTTACATATTCAGGATTTTGGACACCTGCCCCCGTCCTGCTCCTGAAGTCTTCGACTACTGGCCCTCGCAATCTCCTTGGGATTTTTGCCATCACGGGCCAACTCCCGGCTCAATAACCGTCTATAGAGGAGCATCTTGCGCTTGGTTTCCGGCGTTCCCATGGCGGTGCTGAACTGCATCACGGGATGTCGGCTTCGGGACGAGGATCTTCACACGAAAAATAGGATAGGAATAGTGGAGGAGTTCAGGGCCTGCTGGTAACTTACGCCTTATTGTCGGACATTTTGGCTTTATCAAATTTCAAAGTCCAGCCAAGAGCTTACGTTAGAATTTCGTTGGAATTTGGAAAACTAAAATGAGGGCTTTGTCGAAATTTTTACTAATGCGGTGATAGCATTATAGTGGACTGCTAGATCCCTAACTCTCACATAAATGATACATCCGAAACAGATATTTAAAGGAACATAATTCTGAGGAGAATAGTTCCTTTAAGGGAAGCAGCCGGCCGACTTTTCCTGCATTTTTCAGCATAGCAGTGGCCCAGTTGGCCAAATTAAGTCATTAAGTGCCACCGACTTCTGAATGCAGCAAGCCAAACGACAGCAAGGCACGCAAACAGATAAAAATTATGGAGCAGGGGTTACAGAAACATGAATTCTCTGGGAGTGGAACTGCTAAAAGCCGGATTCGGTAGCGCCGATAATCAATTCCGTTTCCGGCTGACAGTTTGCCGCATCGTGCGTGACCCTAAATATGGATAAACAGCACCAGAAAAATAACAATAATAATAATTGTAATAATTTCGTGGGCCCCCAGAGTTGGGGCGTCGACAGGCAAGGGGCGTGGCACGTGCGGCGCAGTTACCGGGTTTTTAAAACTTTTGGTTCGCGTGCTCGCATGTCGAAAAACGGTTGGAAAAGCCGGTCTATTAGCCGCCAAAGAGCGTTGATAACGAGTTCATTGACGAGTTCATTGGCACATTGATTCACATTGATTTTGTAGCGCTGCATTCGAGGGGGTTTTTGCCCCAAATGCGGTTAGTGCGGCTGCTTAAATGTGCATGCTCATCGCTGAGCAAAAAGTCCAAAAATAAAGCTGAAAAAACAGCGCCGAAGGATAAGCCAACAGTTAGCTAGCGTATATCCAAATTAGAAGAATATAAAAAAAAATTAAAATACAAAAAAAATTTGATTAAACAAATATAGTTCTAAAAAAAATTGTTTGTTCAATCTATACACAGTTGTAGCAAATATCAACCCTACTGTTACCAATCCTGGCTGCAGCGGCTGATTAGCCATGCAGACCATGTTCCTTCGAGCCATTCTAAGCCACATAAGGCCCCGAATCTGCCAGCTGACTGTATTCCAAATCTCAGACCACAGACAATCGCACCAGACGGATACGTGGGGCGAAAATGCCGCATCACCAGGAGCTGCAGGAGTAGTAGCATTTGAAACCCCCAATTTCCCTGCCCTCCAGTTGTCTAGACGCAAAACCCATTTCTATGCCACCGAAAAAAATTGTTCTCGTTGCGCAAATGTTGCATTATAGACTAGAGAGCCATGAGGAAGCAAGTGTGGCAGATGAGGACGGGGGCTTCGAGCTTAGATATGGGAACAGCCGTTACCAAGGAAGGAAACTTATTAAAATTTTACAGCCCCAATTTCAGCTGTCAGAAATGAAGTTGTCCCAGCCTCCTTAGCTCGAATTTATGTGGTAAGGTATTCGATTTTTCGCTCCTCCTAAAATTACATTTAATTTTTTGAAGAAAACATGTGTTTTCAGCATTCTTCAAAAGCATTTATCACAATTTACTGAACACTTTTGAGCACATTTGTGGCATTGCATGCCGCGGCCTCGTGTTGCGTGGCAATTTGATGAATGTGCTCCTTGATTAACCCTGATCCGGGGTCAAACCTCCTCGAACCGGGCTGGAAAATCAGTTTTAAGACCTTTGCATGCAGCTGGAAAATTTCAGAGGCAAGCAAAGTTTGCATAATAAATGAAGGCGATAAGAATGCTGTCCGGTTTGTTTATGTTTATGTTTCTTGCCTTTTATTTTTATGGAATACCTAGGGGCGTTCGAAAGGAAACTTTTGCGGGTGGCAAATACTTTTTGCGCTCGAATCGGATCCCAAATGCCTCGAGCTGAGGCCACAGTTGCCTAGGCTTTGAAGATTTCCGCTCAGAATGCCTTTTGTTTCACTGCTATCGGAAAGAGTCAAGGGTCGAATTGGCCTTTGAACTTTTGTTAAAGCTGCCGAACGGAGTTTCAGCCAGTTAGTCAAATAATGTGAAACAAGTCGGGTCAATTTTTCCGTACACAAAACAAAACACCGAGACTCCAATTTTCGACCTGCAAAATGGAAGAGACCGAAGTTCTGGAAAATCAAAATGTGCCACAAACAGACAAGATGAAACCAGCAAGTGCACACTGTGAACACAACGAGCTGTACATCTTGGATTACTCACATTCTACAGATGCCAAGGAATCACTTGGCCAAATAAGTCTTGAGCAAAAGAATATCAATGCGGTCAGGAATCTCAAGAAACAGCAATCACATGTGCACGTTTTGGGAGAAAGTCGAGCACAGCTAAAACAACCGGAAAATACAGACGAAAATACGAAACCCGCAGAAACTGAACAGAAGATGGACATTTCCACAAACGAGCAAGAAAATAAGGATATTGTTTTAACTAATTCTTCAGAATCAAAGGAACAGTGCCAAGAAGATAGAACGTTGACCATGGAGAACGCCCGAAAATCATACCAGTTAATTGCAGAAGAATCGTTTCCTAGCCCCAAAGAAGCAAGGATGAAGGAAGAACTTCAAGAGTCCAAGGAACCAGACACCCACACGAAATCCGAACAGGTGAGAATCGATGAACTGGATCAAATGGCGGCAAGTACTTCATCAGCAACTCAGGAGCCGAAAATGGAAAAGCCAAACGAAATAACGCCTGGTAAAGGTGACAATATTGACCCCAGGGATAAGATCAGGGAGGAGATTGAAGAGTATTTTAGAGGCATTCAGGCGCTGGAGGTCAAGACACTAGGCGCCGAGCTGAATGCTAGGGAAGCTGAGACAATTTTAAGAGCGGAGCAGCAAAGGAAAACCTGGAAGGGAATGCTGCTAGCGATGACCCTATCCAGCTCTGCGTAAGAAGTGTATGCCATATGGTATAACGATCAGCTAATATTTCTATAATTTACAGCAGCTCTTCAGGAAAGCCACCTAAAACCGCCGCACAAGCCATTCTGCAGCGCACAGCCAAGGCGGAGTTCAAAAGGAAAATGTACGTCCTTAAAGAAAACTACAACTATCGATTGGAGCTGATAAAGCAGCTGAAAAACGACTTGAAAAACAACTACAAAAGCGAGGCCCAGCAACTGCATATCGACTACCACTCCATCAAGAACCAGACTCCAAACAGCTCCACTTCAAACGAGATGCCTACACCCAACACTGAACAAGAAGAGGTTTCGGCAATAGAAATAAGTGGATCCACCCGCCAAACATAGGATACTTTCACACCATCAGTTACTAGATAGTTGCTACATCTAGAGCTAAAACCTAGCTGAAGACACCAAGTTTATAGGACGCACCTCCATTCTTGCATTATCCACTAAAATTTTTGCAAGTCGAACTGCTGCCACATTATGCTCACAGTACTCAGTACGAACACACTACTCCATTTTCAATAATATCCACAAGTCAGGCTGGAAAATAGACGGTTTCAGGAACTAGTGGATGTAACCTAGAACCATTGCCCCAAAATCCAAGGCGGGAGGCAATGGGACTGTACCTCTTGCATTCATTGTGTGCACTTGCTTCTTTGCATCTTGAAGAAGTGCATCCGTATCTGTATCTCATTTGCTGAGTTTCGACGGTACAGTCATCACTCTGAACGCCCCGCAGTATGCAACAGTATTTTTTGCTTTGTACATCCCACGAACCTTAAATTTGCGCCACTTCTGTTTTGCATGTCGAAATAAAAGCAAAGACAATGAGAATTGACCCAAATACCTGGCTCTATTGTAATTTTGCTCCTTTGGTATTGTAATTTATGGACTGCGAAAGTAGGGTGGGGCTTTTTTGGGGTCGCAGCCGCCGAGGGAAAAGTGGAGCAGCGAAGTGAACAAAAGGTGTCCCTTGGTATCCAGTTCATATTGTTACACTGGCTTTAAAATTGAATTCTGCAGGAAAGTTAACCGCTGATACTGGGAATTGGATGGGTATCTTTGGGATATATAGTACAACTGCGCGCGTAGCATGCGCTTTAACACAACGATTTTTCCGCTTAAGGAAAACTTTAAACTTTCCAAATACCAGAGTTGATCACCATGGTGGTGAGTGGGAAGAGCTCCACGGGAGGCTAATCCGTTCAAAGCTGCCAAAAATCTGCGCCGTTTTCCTTCCGTGTGACGCACAAAATGTGGATGGTCCGGATGGGAAGGGGCTGGGCTCAAAGTGGCGGACGGACACTCGTGGCTGGCGCTTAGCAACAGACAGACAAAGCTGTAGGCCTAAGCCGACGGGGCACGCCCCCTTCCTACCAATCCGCCCCCTGCGGCGGCTTACAACAAAGCAAAATGGTAAATAAAGGCCGAAAGCGATGACAGCGGGCGTTGAAATGGAAATCAAAATCCGACTCCCATCCCGTAATCAAAGTAAATCAATGCGCGACTATAGCTCGACCCCTCTAAAAATTGATAAAAATTCGAAATTGAAAATTTACTTTGGCAATTTGGATTGCAGCACCGTTCCGACAATGAAATATGTCAATTTCAATTATGCCCTTCGCCGCGGGCCAAAAAGTACTCGAATCCGAATTTATTTCAGCATTTCAACAAATGTGTCAATTTCCCCGTAAAGCTCTATCGATTGCAGAGTTGGCAACGCCTTGAATCGCCTTCGATTGTGCCATCCGCATCCACATTCTCTGGGGGGATTGATTGTCTACAGGGTAATTATAGTTGTTAGGGCTCAAATGTTGGCTCGCAATTTGCTGACAGTTGTCTGACGCCCGAGGCCTTTCGATGGAAAAAAGCCAATCAATCGAATGTAACCCCTTCTACTTTCACTTAAGAGTGTACGAGGTTCAGTAAAATAAACTAAACATGGCTTAAATCCTGCTTTTAATCAAAGAACTATATAAATCTTTAGGAGAATGAAGTCGAGGCACCAAGCTGAAGACCTAGGAACTTAACCACTGTAGAGTTTTATTTTACTAAAGGGAAATACTAAACAAACTTAAATTCCGCTTTAAATACTTTTTCATCGTTTTTCCAAGCCTTAAATGTTTATAAACTGTAAATTAAAAATTCTGCATAACTAGTTTGTGTAAACACGTTGTGATGCTCCGCTGCCAAGCGGAAACATAAGTGGCATGTGCGAAACTTTGCACAAATCACGTAGAAAACTTTGCGCGAGTCTCATCAATTTCGCAGGTCTGCCGTGAGATTTCCTGTAATATAAACTGCAGGGGAGGAGGGCCGCATCAATGGGAACCATCAAAGGGCCATAAAACTTTCGCCCAACACTTTGCAGACAGGAAATATGACAGCCCCGCACAATAAAACGAGCTGCCGGTCATTTGCCAATGTCTAGCTGACTGAATGACTGAATGGCTAGCTGACTAGATGAATGAATAACTGACGGACTGACGGACTGACTGACTGACTGGCTGGCTGGCCATCGCTGTGTCCACCAGATTGATTTGCAAGTGGTTGGAGGGCAGAGCCGGGATTGAAATTGAACTTGAAAAGTGCACAGCAGACAGGCGGCATCGCAATGACAATGACAAGGCTCTCACGATTACACAAAAGCCAGCCAAGGCATCCATCGGCAGCAGGAGAAAATAAAATGCCACGACTCGGGACTGCGACTGCCTGTTGTCGATATGATCTCGTCATTATGTCGCCAAAGGCAGACACCAAAGTCCCGGGATCCAGGGGTTCCAGGGGATCCAGGGGGAACCTGGCGGATCTCGGGGGCAAAGACGTCTGCAAGTTGCGTCGTGTGGGCGACACTTTTATGTGAAATTGATGATGATTGAAAGCTGCATCGGTTGGAAAGGCGAGGAATTATTAGACATGACAGCGTGATGCTCACGACATTTGCGGATAACAGATACATTTATATCTATGGCTGCACTTCAACACTTTTTGTGTTTTTTATGCTTACAATAAAAGTTTTGATAAAATGTACATAAATAATATTGAAGAAGATTGTTGAACAGAAATGTATCATAAGAAAAACCGATATTACCTACGTTATTTTAGATTAATCCATTAAATATGCATAATTCCCGACTTTTGCCCATCACCGAAGTACATTGAGCAGAAGTATATACAGAAGTATAGATACATATCTAGAACACTAGCGCATCTCTTGCTGTCATCTTGTGCCACCCGCTCGCTGATGTCGGCATACGAATTAAACAATTAAAAGGAAAACAGGCTGTGTTGTATCCCCACTTCGGAGCTCCGCAGAGGCCCCACACCATCCCATACTCCATCCCATACTCCCATTTAAGGCTGGCCACAGATTTTTATGGCGCCACGATGTTCTTTAAGATATATGTGTCAAAACTACTTGTGTGCCATCGTAAATTTAATTCATAGGCGTCTGCGTCACCAGCTGATGATTGTCCTCATCATGATGATGATCATCCCAATCGCAATCAGAATGCCAATCGTGTGGGACTTGGAGGGGAGTGCTCATTGCATTTTTATCACTTACGCGAAATTGGTTTTTATGTGCCGGGAGTCTCATGTGCGCCTATTAAATGGAAACGCTGCCTCCAATTCCTTCGGCGACCGCACTCGACATCAATTCCACATATCACAACTACCATAAGTAAGTGGAGGGAGACACGCAGTACGTATACGCAGCGTTGGCCGGGAAGACAGTTAAATAAAATGCTCCGCTGGCCGTTTAAGCGATGGCAATCAGCCGAATAGTCAAGTGATATATGGCAGAGCACTTTCAGCCACCGGAGAACTAGGAGGCCTACGCAGGAGACTACTCTGCTTAGGGTCTCTTGTCATTGTTTTATTGATTTATAGGTAAGTAACAGCCAGTGGTTGGGTTGTGCCACTTGAGACATTTCAACTTACGCACTTAATTTGGGACTTGAATGGATGAAATCGTTGGAATATTACCTGCAATGAAAGGAAAATTGTATTATTAGACAGAGAATTTAACTGGGGTACACAACGCTTGTGCAGAATGAACTTCATGGAACATACTATTAACTCCATATGCCTATCTATGACCTGGAGCACACAGGGCAAACAAACTTCGACCACCAATTCCCCCTCATCCAGGGAATGAAAAATCTGTCAAGCTCAACAAACTGACAACTTAATGCCACAAGCCGACCAACCAATCCCATCCAACCACAGGAGCAGCCACTGGCCACAGGATGAGAAGGACGACTCCACAGGCTCAATGACTTGGCCAGACTGGTCTCTGTGGTAAAATTTAATTTAACATACAATTCAGAATGCCCGGCGACAACTTCTCTGGCCAACAACTAGGGCCACACAATGGCCAAAATTGTTGCCAGGACACAAAGTTTCCTGGCCAGGAGCAGCTGGTGGGGGAGATGGAGTCGGAGAGTCGAGGCCGAAGGCTCGAATCCTTAATTATATTGAGTGTATGAAATCCTTTGGCCACACAATGGCCGGCAGGAAGTGAAAGTGGCCATGTCCTTGTCCCTGCTCGCCGTCGTGTTTAATCCAAGCAATTTGCAATTTTTGGTAATTTAACTTGACAAAACTTTTTAATGGGGGGAAGTCACCCCACTCACAGACTGACAATGGAAACGAATGGCATTTGCGGCTCCCGTTCGATTCGATTCGCAACTGTTGCCAGGATTCAGTCGAGCTCCTTAATCCCGGAAAGGAAGGACCCGTCGAACCCTTCACCCGGCCCATAAAACCATAATTTTCGATTGTTATGTACTTAAAGCCGAATTTCGTCATGTGCGCTGAATGCAAATTTCGTTTTCAATTTCGCTTTTTATGTCTGCGCCTGGTCCATTATATTTTATGATTTATGTTTTGCCAGATTCTGGGCGAAAGGGGTAGGTCCTGGAAGGGGCTACATTAAGCGGACTAAGGCGTTAATATCCTTGGTGCAGGACTTGTCTGCCGGATGGACTGGGCGGCAAAAGAGTTGTGGCAATTTACGAGATGATTTGATTTTAATCTCTAACCGCCCTCTGGGAATACAATGCGAATTGCGTATTTTGTTTCTGCTGAATCGGTGATGGCAGCAGATTAAAAAGCAAATATTTATAACTGAAGGGGATTAGAAGAGATGTATGTGAATGAGAAAAGTTTTCGACAATGATCTGTGGCGAAGTTGTGGCCTCCGTCGTGGCAACGTGGTGTGAATTATGCAAAATGTTTAATATAAGTAGCTCACGGCATAGATTTATTTAAAAACAATACCTATATAGAAAATATAGACTTTACCAACTGTTTCTGAATTCGCCGACTCCCTCGTGCCCCATTAATCATCCGCAGGTCAGATCGTATTCAATATTTTCTGATAGCTCTAATTACAAGCAACAACAGCAGATCGCGTTGACGACAGAAGTTGCCGCGCTGAGGGAGTATAAAGTTGAGCGATGAAGGAGGAAAATGAATGTCCCACCATAAGCCGTAATTTTTGCGCGAAAGTCGAGCTACTGCGCCCCCAAAGCAGTTTCAACTGTCAAAAATGACAAATAGTCCGGCGAGGATTTAATTTTGAATGCACCGCTTCGCAGACGCAGTCGCAGTGCAGTGGAAATTAACTAAGCGACGTGGAAAAAAGGCGATTTTGGCCATTGGGAAAAGTCAGTGGGAAAAGCACCCACCACCGAAAATCTCGCAGACGGAAAGCGGCATTAAAAGCGATCTACGTACACACACACACACACACCTTTCCAATGAAATTCGCATCCCCTCCTTTCCGCTTTCCGCTTTCCGTCATTTTCCGAGGGGTGTGTTTGTCCAAGGGGATGCAACCGGGGCCGTTTCATGTTTGTCCGGGAAATTAGTTTGGCTCAACAGCGGCATCATTGGAAAATAAAGGATTTTCTGTTTAGAACAGGACGCGTATTTATAAATTACTCGTCCGCAGCACAATTGCTCAGCCATACGTTTTATTGCGAATTCTAGAAGATGAGAAAAGGTTGCCTGGTTGCTGGGACTACTACGCACGTGTGTGGCAGAAACCCTTCCAACCATCCACTTATTAAAAATACTTGTTTGTTTGCAGTACTTTATCTGCAACTGGGCAATGTCTATGGATGGCGTCAACTGGCTATACGTACGATTCGCTGGGGCATGTAATTAAATTTTCGGATTGCACCTTTTCGGCAGGGAGCTCGGCACAGAAAGGCCAAAGGATGTGGGAGTACAACGTTTTATATGTTTTCCGCGTACACTGTTTGGCGAAGATTGTTAGTGGGTCTTATTAATTACTTCCTACCACTTATCTTTTCGCACAAGCTAGGCTGTAACATTAATCATTGCATAATTTGGTGGTTCATAGCTCATCGGAGCTGTAAACTAAACTCATTAATTACTACAATTAGGCCATACACATTTTTTCCGCTAGCCCTCAAATTGTTTAATCTGGCAACCGATTCAGGGCCGCGGTCGCACTCCCTGCCAAGCGATACGCACGCGACCCAAGAGAACCCAACATTGGTAAGAACAACTTCCCATTTCGAGTCGTTAAAATGGTCCGCTTCGGATAAGTAGAAAAAAAGAATTGAGCAGGAAAAATATATGTAAAACTGCCGTGTTAGACTCGCCAGCTTTGATTAATGGTTTCTTCCAGCACGTCATAAGCGGGCAGGTCCTGGCAAATCCCTGCCCCGCCTTTTAGCCATCAAAGGCTGAGTGAGCAAAGCACCTTTTTTGTATTTTTTGTGAAGCGAAACAGAAAGAAAAGACTGGGCTGTGTCGTCCAGTCAAGTATAATTAACAACTTTGTTGGGCCGTTTGGGCTTTCCTCTCGCTGTTCGTTAAGAAATTGCAAAAAGTTGTTGCTCGTTTTATGTAAATGATGTGTAAACACCACGTGCAGGAGTGCCCCGAAGTTCATAATAATCCGGAGCAGTGCAACAATGTGGCATTTTGAAAAATACTCGATGCATATTTCGTGGCGCATGTCCATTAGCATTGGGTAAAGGGACTAAAACGGGAGTACAACGACACGTGTCGCATGGATTTATTAGCATAATTTCTCTTCCTCAGGTTTTTTAATGCTCGCCACGGAAGCATTAAAGCGAAATGGATGTTCACCTACCCGAAATGATCCGAAGGAGTGAGGCGGACTCGCTTTTCAATTTCCAAGGCAGCCCGGGGCCATCATCTTCGCCAGCATAAATTCCCAGGAACTACTCCCTTAATTGTTGTGCATTTGTCAACCTGAGCACACGAAAGCACTTCCAAAAACGGCGTCAAACTCTCGAACCTCTCCATCTCCATCTATCCAGAGCCATGGAAGATCCACACTTGAATCCAGCACGAACACTTTAAATTCTGGCACACAAGGCAGACATTTGCTCGATTCGAGTGCGAAGTAGGGAGTCTTGTGCTATTTATGTCTTACTTAGTAGCACATTTGCTGTGACTAGTTCGTAAATTAATTGGATTTGCAATTACACGCCCCACAAGAGCCAGACTAACAAACAGCAGAAAAGTGGTGGGCCAAAGCGAGGCAGTACTGCTAGTATGGAAAGAGAAGAGCTGACTAAACGGATAAGAGGCAAAATACATGTATAGTCTTAAAATTGAATGGAAAAGTCCCTGAAAAGAGCAAAATAATTGAACGAGTGTTGACTTAGATAACAGCGCCAAGTAAACACATTGAGAAGCGCATAGAAAGGCGCGAACTTAACCTTAAGGTTATTTAATGCTTTGAGATACAGGTCGGTACTAATCGATATAAATGTATGAACATTCTGGAAACCTTAGAGTGCCACCAAACAAAATCAGAACCAGCAACCGTGAGGTACTCTCCTACCTCAAAACATATATGTATATCCCTTCCTCAGATCGACCATTACACTAATTGCTGGCATACAACATTTTTATTGCATTTGCCGACTTCTATTCCGGAATTTCATGCCTTACATACCACCGCTTAATATGCATAGCAATAAATGGCCATATACTAGCACAGGTTCCCCAACTGTGGACCTCAATTTCGCCAAAGGAGCAGTCAGGGAAACACTTACATAATACACACAAACGAACTCTCTAGGTGACGGCAATATGGAAAAATCAAAGGCAGGAAAAGCGAAAGCAAATTGCTTGAAGCCATCACCTGTACAAACCAGTCCCAGGCGAACATTTCAATACAAATGAAATCGGCAGTGGAAATGGACAGAGAGCAAATTTCAGACGAAATGAAATTAGATTTTTTGGTTGTCGAGGAAATTGCTGCACGCACGCAAACACCAGAAAATATTGAAATTACATCCAGGAACGCAGAATTCAAAAATATATATCGCCCAGTACTTCTATGCAAAATAACCGCAGGCCATTTGATTGTAGACAAACATTTGGCATTCTGTATGCCGGTATCTGAGCATCCGAGAGTGGTTTGCGTCCCCAGTCAAACGGAAATGGGCAAATGCCTACGCAAATGTGCGCATTTCAATTAAATTTCCGTTTTAATCACTTTTACAAGTACCATTGCTACCATTCATAGTGGCCTGGTTGGCATGGGTTAAGCAGGGGGTCAAAGCCCCATGTTGGTATACTCACTCATTAAAACTGTGTCTGGGTCAGGTCATGCGTACTAATTTGATGACGTGGATCCTTGATCTGCTATCCGCTGCTTAGCTGCACTTGTTGAGAATCGCATAGAGAGGCGCTTCTAATTTGATGACGTGGATCCGTGATCTGCTATCCACTGCTTAGCTGCACTTGTTGAGAATCGCATAGAAAGGCACTTTTAAATTGATGACGCGGATCCGTGATCTGCTATCCACTCCTTACTTAAATTTTTGAGAATCGCATAGAGAGGCGCTACTGTTTTGATGACGTGGATCCGTGGTCTGCTATCCACTCCTTACTTAAATTTTTGAGAATCGCATAGAGAGGCGCTTCTAATTTGATGACGTGGATCCGTGATCTGCTAACCACTCCTTACTTAAATTTTTGAGAATCGCATAGAGAGGCGCTTCTAATTTGATGACGTGGATCCGTGGTCTGCTATTCACTCCTTACTTAAATTTTTGAGAATCGCATAGAGAGGCGCTTATAATTTGATGACGTGGATCCGTGATCTGCTATCCACTCCTTAGTTAAATTTTTGAGAATCGCATAGACAAACGCTTCACTAGTTGAGGCTTTGCGGAAGTGGTTTCACTAAGCGGAAAGCTTGGATGGATTTTTGAAATATTTATAATAATTATGAGACGCATGCGAGGAGACTAAAATCATTTGAATTTTATTCACCATTTATTTAGCATGCATTAAATATGCGTGAAACATCAATCCTCTTACTCCAATTTTGAAAACTACTATGGTAGACCGTGGCTTAATTTTTAACCCTGTATCTGCAGCCGTCCGCTCTTATTGTGGTTTCACTGTCCGTGCTCTGCTGATTAAAGTCTTTGTTGTTCCATACCAAATGAACAGGTATGCTAATCGAGATTCCCGACGAGGCGAAGCTCCGGCTGGTGATTGTGGTATCCGAGCTGCTACGCTCATTGCACAGTTCCTCGTAGGGCACCAGTGCCCTGTCTCCAATATCGGCGGAAGGATTCTCCTTTCCCCAATCCCGCAGGCCGCACTCCGAAATGATGGGCGACGAGCGGGCTCCGCTGTCCGCCGAGTTCCACACCTGATCGCTGGCCCTCTCGGAATCCTTGTCCACAAGAGCCAGCATGGATGGGAATGCATCTATTTGTCCTCCAGCTTTCGATCTCGGCATGGAACGCAGACTCGCCTCCACGGGAAGGGAACTGCGCCGCAGGAGCTTCTGCAGCGTCTTGAAGGATTCACGCATCTCAAGAAGCTGCAACTCATCGTAGGGCTCGGTCAGTGGAGTGTTTGGTACCGACAGGGCGTTGATAAGAAATTCGAGGTCATCCTCCATGGCTTTTAATGATTTCGGTTATTGTTTGTTGGGTGTGTTCCAAGAGTATTAACTATATTTGAATTTGGAAATTTGAATCAATTTATTGGTCTCTGCGCTACCGACGAGAAAAGCAAAGCTACCCCCAATGTCTCGATAGAATCGAAAAGATTCTCATTATTAGAAGATATATATCTTCATTTTATAAATAACGTTTTTAGCACTTTATTGCATATTTGGCCTATCGCATCATCAAGTAATTTGTGCTCCTCCATTGGATGTCCTTTTCGAACTGCAAACTTTTTTCATTAATTCCGTCTGAGGGCTTTAAGAATGGCAACTTAAGTTCCTGTACCGCCCTAATCTACATTCTCCCACCACTGCATCCGCCTCCATCTCCGCCGAATTTAGCTACAAAGTCATTACGAACAACTTAAGTTTGTGTTAAACACGCCTACATTACCAGATTTTGCATTTGGAGCGGCAAAAAGCAAAGTTTAGGGAAAGCTGCCGAGGCAGAAGCGAACTGCAAGAAGTGGAAAACTTGAGCTTGGGTCCGTGTAATAATTGTAATTTCGCAGTTGCCGCAGGAGGAAAGCGAGGAAAACCGAGGAAAACACGAAAAATAACAATCAGAAAGCATTTAGCAGCAACTTCTGAAAGCGAGAGTCCCAGGGGAGTCGAGTTAACCAAAGTGTGTTCGCTTGTCGACGCCAGGTGGCTTCCTCTATGGTCGAGTTGCAAGTTCGTGTGTTTCCGATCCAAGTATAGTGTGTACGGGGTGGGGGCTCCCCTTCTTGGTGTGTCAACGCAAAGGAAAACTCGAACTGCCGGAGGAGGGAAAAACCAGAAACAAACCATGAATTCCTTTAACGATTAAACAAGGAGCAGGATACCATATAGGATACAGTGTTCCTTCCTCCTCCTTCCGAAGAAACACACATAAATCTCTTTTGGGGTGTAACCAGAGTGTGTGTTTCTGTTTCGCCTGGCGTGGCAATTTTAATGGTCTGACCTACTTACTGTTCCTGCTTTTTATTGATCACTTAAAGTAACTAGCGTTTCTTTTAATTGCACAAACTCCAACGTAAGCATCAGACTACGCAACTCTGTTTCCCACGTCAAAAGTTTTGCCACCGCTTGTCCTGCCATTTGTCAGGCATCAGAAAATATGTTTAATAATCTGAACGCATTACCAAACAGCAGCCACTGTGCAAACAAACGGAAGCAGAAAGGAAAGCGGTTGTGGTTTGGGGCACCAAGGGGTTGCAAGGATAGCGACAGGGGCAGACACATGTAGACGACTCCAAAAGGCGGAGGACTCCAGACAGACAGACAAAACAAACAGCGAGGGTGAGATGGAATATATCAGCAGAGGCAGGGATACCAAGGAGCATATTATTGGACAGTGGAACAGAAAAAATGTAGTGCATTTAAAGGAGGGAACAAAAGTAATAGATGGAGCTGTACGGAACTGCATCTGTTTCTAAATATAACAAACTGAAAGAAGAATCATTCGTAAAGTTAAGTTTACTAGGCAAAGTGGAAAGAAAGTGTGGTTTTTTAACGAACTTTCCCACTGTGCTGAGCTGCTCGTCCTCCGAGTCGCAGAAGCCTATTAAATAACTTGGTCCTACACATGCGACCTCCGAGGAAGGAAAGGCAGCAGCCGAAAGTTTTGCTCACAATTGCCAGGATAACGCAGGAGACACAGGAGTGAGCAGTCGCAGTCGCAGTCAGAGGAACCCAAAAGTGGTCACATGAAAATATGAAAATATTCATGGCTGAACAGGAAAAAAAAGCCAACAAATAATGACGACAACCAAAATACGAGGAAGTGGAGGGAAACTCGCATGCAGGCAAATGGCAAAAAGTAAACAAATAAACAAATGGGATCGGGCTGTGTATCCTTCGTTTGATAGAGGAAACTTCAAGAAGGATGACGATGACGATGACGAAGAGGATGACTGTGGTAACCATCCACCCATGTCTTAGACATTTGCATATGGAGCTGGAGCTGGAGCAGCTTCTGGCTCTACTATTTGCTTCAGTGAGGCGTCTTTGGCCAAATTTAGGGGAAAATTCTATTATTTTAGCTGCTCAAACAACTACTCAGACTCCCAGCAGTTAGTTGCTCACTTTGTCTAACAGATGACCGACCACTTGAGTCCTTTGAGACCCACTACATGGGTATGTAAAACATTTAGCCCCTGTTTCCCTTGGGCCACTTGCACATTGAGCTGCAGCTGGAAAATAAATGTTCAATTTGTAGTTGTCAATTGGCTACTTAGTGCAGTTGAAACATCACCCATGGCAACCGAGAACCAGGGAAATGCCAAAGCAATTGAAAAGTAAACGAAACTAATGCAGGAATTTGGCAAAGTGCCATCGATTGATGCTGGTATGTAGGAGTATGCTGAGCAAAAGTGAAAATACCCCTTTAGTACTACACAAAAAAGACTTCGATGTAATGGAGCGAAAGGATACATGCGATATCAAATTTTACACTGAAATTATGGCTGCAAACGAAATAGAAATATTCGGGACATCATTTTTATGAAAAACATGAGCTCGGCATTAACCTTTTGCAAATGGAGAGGCTGCCATATCATTAACTTGCAAGAAAGAGCCGAGATTTACCTTTTGGCCTCTCGATAAGCAGCTCATTACTCAAATGCAGAAAAGAAAACCCCGAAAAGGGCCGGGAACAAAACCCCCGATTTTTTGTGATTTACTGGGCTCGGCGAACCGCTTGGATCAGCTAAAAATGCCCGAAACATAATAATAATTTGTTACATGGGAAAAGCACAGTGCAAAGGAGATAAACAAAATAAATGACAAAAGCATGTCAGCACAAAGCAAACTAGAATGGAAATGGAAAATGGATCCGCTCCTCGAATTCGGGAGGCTTTTTGTTGCAACCCTCAGCGATTTTTTGTCTTCCACGGGACTACAGACATTTGCATAAATTATCATTTGGTGAGCCGGAACAAAAAAGCCCAGAGATATGCTCTGCGTACCTTCGAAGGAAGGCCGAAGGAGCGGCCATGGCTGGAAAAATGGGTAATAAAAGCCAAATGCATAAAATAACATAAAATAAAACAAGAGTTTATGTGCTAGCGCTGAGCAATGGCAAATATCAAACAAATTGCAATAAAATGCAAATTTAAATAGAATCGCCGAAGTTCACATAAGTCTGGCCGTACATTAAAGCCAGCCGAAAATGTTGCTGGCTAACACAGTTTGAATTTAAATATTTTATGCTTAATTTTAGAGAATTTTATTACCGAGCGGCAGACCGCAGAGTTTGGAGAGCGGGCAAGTCCCCCGGCTATTTGCAGGAAAATGGGGAGCTTGGAGCCCAGACCCACAAACACCCCTTGTTTGTTTCCAAGCAGCTGAGCACAGCTGGGAAAACGAAGACGGCATTTCCCTGCGTTTTTAATACACTTTTCCACCGAACACGCCAGCAAAGAGCAAAAAGCAACAGCCGATGGCAGGTGAGGTCCACCCATCCGCCAGTTGTTTGTTTTTTTTTGTTTTGGTGTATTCTTTAAAGGAAACTTTTTCTGCACAATGAATTTTTGCGCATTTTCCACCTGTATGAGCGCGCCCCGGGAAAAGCGGTGTGCTGGGAAATTCGCCCAGGAAATCGATTCGTTGTGGTTGTTGCTCTGGTAATGAGACTTTCCATGGCCAAAACGGAAAACGCCAAAGGGGAAAGAGCACAATTTTCTCGTTTCGGGTGAATTCGCAACTATGCAAATGGGAGGTAAATAACAGAGCTTAGTCCTTTGGTTCAATTACTGGTAAAGGAACCTGGAAGGGCTCCTCTTTTCGGTTTTCTCAGGGTCTGGGGAAAAGCTATTAGCATGTGGGCGAGAAAATGAGGCGGGGTGCCGGAGCAGCAACAAATCTCAGCTAATTAAAGTCAACAAGCAGAATCATTTGAAATGCAAATGTCAAACGGCGTAATGGTAATTTGCGAGTGTGTGTGGGTTGAAAGACAGAATAATATTTGAATGGAGGAATTAAGACAACCAAAAGAGCAGACACCAAAGAACCCTATTGCCGTTGCGGGTGCCTCGACTATTGCATACCCATCACCCTAAAAGGTATTGCACTATTACCAAAAATTCGCCTTGTTTCCCCTGTTTTGTATCGTACCCTATGTACACTTGCTCCCCCACCAATCCCTCCACTTAACACGAGAATCCCTTATATGTTCCATGAGGGCCCTAAAAAGTTGAATCACCCGCACAAGCAGCACAATATTTTGCTCTTTAAAAGTGGAGTACACAAATTTTGATGAGGGTAATTATTGGCAGTCTCCGCAGGGCTTGAGTTGGATGGAAAAGGGTAAGCCGAGATCTATAACCGAAAGGGTGAGCAAAAAAATGAAGATAGAAGGAAGCATAGAATTTCAATTAAAATTAGCAGCCAGGTCGTTAATATAAAATATTGCTAATTAGATTGCTACGGACGCGGACCAGCAGCACCAACTGCTAGGCCTCCGTCTTTTGCATTGATTTTAACACGGTCATGAATATTAAATTACCAACTCACACATAGATGCCGCATAGATGCCACATAGATGTTTATGGGTGGGGAGAAAAGTTTGTCTGCCATAAATTAAAATCAACGCCCATGGAACACGCCCCTCTCCCCCACCTTCACCTCCCCCTCCTCCCGCACGGCCGCCACTCAGAATGTTGACGGTAATTAACTTTTAGGCATTTTCTATGCATATTTATGTGGGCGTGCTTTTCGGGGGGAGGCGACTGGATGGTCCTTCTGCTTGCATAGCATTAACGAGGGGCGGTGGGTGGTGGGTGGTGCTTGGTGGTGGGGTTGCCCCTCGCCACGACAGATGATGCGTGCAAGGCCGAGAAAATTACGCTTTTTCTTTCTCTTTTGACAGAGGATCCAAGGGCTATTCGCCTTGGAAGCCCTACACCTACAAGGAGCTTGTATTCATTCATCGGAAATTCGCCTTCTATTTTTACACACCATCTGTAAATGTCATAAATAAAGAATGAATTAATCATACAGTTTAGCGGATTTTTCCTCAGCCCACGCCAAGAGTTCTCAATTGTGAATTCAACTGAAAGAAGTCCTTGAGTTTCCATTTTCCACA